GTACGGTGCATGCCTGGCTGCTGCCCTCTCCTCATGTGGTGTGCCCTCTGTGTGTGTGTCTGCCGCACTTCTCGTCTCCCCTGTTGCTCTCCATGTCCCTCACTGTGCAGATCAGCTCCACACCACTGAACGACCACACCCACGATGACGACGTGCCGTCTGCTGTGCTCCCCGTTGGTGCTCGCCCTGTGCTGCTGCCCGTCCGTGTGCGTGACAACAAGTGAAGAAACAGCTGGTAAATCTGGAAGTGATCCCGTTTCACCAAATTCTAAGCCAGAAGGACAAGATCATTTGACGGAATCGCCTGGTAAAACTCCTTCTCCACCAGAGAAAAACGAAGAAGGGAGAGAGACAGAAGATTCACAAAAAATGGAGACTCTTGCGTCACATACAACGGCTACAGTAACCGAAACGCCACAGCCACCAAATACTTCCCATAATACACAGGATCAAGATGATGGGAAACCCACTACTGAAGATGCAGGTATTGATAAGAGCAATATGTCAAATGAACAAAATGAGAAAGAAAATGCACCAACTGCGACAACAACAACGACAACGACAAAGGCGCCAACTACGACGACTACCCGCGCACCGTCACTTCTGCGCGAAATCGACGGCAGCCTCAGCAGCTCTGCGTGGGTGTGTGCACCGCTGCTGCTCGCCGTATCCGCGCTGGTGTACACCACTGTGGGCTAAAGTAGTGTGTGCGGGCTGTGCGTGCCAGCACTCAACCACGGGGATTTGTGTGCGTCCACTGTGGTCCGATGTAAATAAATAAGAGAAAATAATGATTGTGTTTTGCTTCATTTGCTTCAGCTGCGCTGCTGTGTGCTCCGTGTTGCTGCTCCCTGTATCCGTCACGTTGAACGCATCCCAGACACACTCATACGCATCACAAGCACACAACTGTTTGCGTGGACGCATTTTTGCATGTGAGTTCATGCACGCTGGAGCCATTCGGTGCAGCTTCTTTTTTTTTTTTGTGCTTTTACTTTTTTTTGCTTCTTTACTCGTGTTTTGTTTAATTTTTTTGCTTAATTGTTTTGTTTTTTTTGCTGGTTAATTACTGCGGGGCTGTTTTTGTGCGTTTTCCCTTCCACTGATTCCAACTGCCTCATGGTGTTTGCTACTTCTGATGGGCTTCTGGCATTTGTGACTGTGCGGTGACTGTGTGTGTTTTAGCGGTGGCTTTTCTTTTGTTGCTTTTGCTCTGCGTTGACGGGGTGTTAGTTTGTGCTGAAGGCTACACGCAAGTGACAGGAGTGATGGCGATGATGATGACTGGCCGTGCGCTGCTGGTGTGTGCCCTCTGCGTGCTGTGGTGCGGTGCTGCGGTGGAGGCGGAGGGTGATGGTTCTGGGGTAGGTAGTGGTGATGCGGATGGGAATATGGTTTTAATTTGGTATATTGATGCTAATGAGACTTGCAAAAAAAAAAATACGCAGGGAGAAAAGCTGGATAAGTCAGCGTTTAAGAGCTGTGTGAATGCTGCAATGAAGGAGATTTGTTACGATTATTATAATGAGACGCCGAGTGAATCTCGTGATTTTGAATCTGACGAGATTTGCAACAATTACATTGGCGATTCAGAGGAGACTATCGATACCTCAACACCGCTAACAGAACCGTCGCATGATGCGGAAAAACCGGTGGCAACACCAACTCCAGAAACCTCAAAGGTCGAAGCAGCAGAAATGGGATCGCCACCGGGAGTACCAGCGGGTGATTCACCAGCAAATCCAACAGAAGGTCCACAATCAACCTTAGCCGCCAACGATACTGCAAATAGTGAAGCTGAAAAGGACGGTAAAGAGGTGATGCCGAAGAATGCACCGGAATCCAACGCCTCAAGGAAAGAAGAAGGTGAAAAGAAGCACAGTAACACAAAGGAAAAACCACTCGAAGCCGAGGCAAAGAAAAATATCACGATGACTGCCGACAGTGACGGCAGCACCGCGGTCTCCCACACCACCTCCCCTCTTTTGCTTCTTGTTGTTGCGTATGCTGCTACTGCTGCGGTGGTGGCCGCGTGAGAGTGAGGGAGAGAGAGCCGTGCACCGCCCGCACATACACTCGTCCTTCTCACTCTCTGTGTGTGTCCCCTTGCATGGACTCTCGCTCTCACCTCATCCCACGAGGCACACACATAATGTGCCCATTGTATATATGCATGCACACCCATGCAGGCCCGTTGGTGCTCTCTTTTGCACGACACGCACCGCTGCCGTCCTGTCTGGCTGCATAGGCGGAGCACCGTAACTGTTTTTGTTTTTATTGCATTGAGTGGGCGACCTCTCTCTCTCTCTCTCCCTGTGTGTGTGTTTTGCTTTACGGGAGCAATGAGAGTGTGTGTGCGCTGGTCGTCCCACGCTTCGGCTTTTTTTGTTTCTTTTATTGTTTTACTTGTGTTGTGGTTGAGTACTACCATTCCGCAGACTTTGTGTTTGTGTGATGATATGAGTGATTTGTGTGTGCTATCTTTCTCTCTGCCCTTTGTTCCCTTTGAATTCTCTTCTGCGGCATGGCTGCTCTGCATGTATAGGCGCTGACATGCACACAAGCATAAGTAAACATACACACGCCATGTTGCACACGCTGTGAACGCTGAAGGCGTGCGAGTACGGCCGCAACTGCAGCCTGTGCGGCCACTATCCCGTGCTGCAGACGGAGGATGGCTGTGACATATGTATTTCTTTCGGACCACTGTGCATCGTCAATGCGTTTTTTGTTTTTGTTCTGCATTGTCTGAAAGTCGCACATGCTTACGCAGCTGACACTGTGGTGCACAGCGCGTGGGGATTGTATTGCTGGCATTAATGTGTGAGCCTTCCTGCTTTGTCTTGCCCACACGATGGGGTGGGAGGCGGGTTTGTTGGATGCGCCGTGCTTCTGGCTTGAAGGGTGGAGGCGCTGCGCCCACATATTGTTTTTCTGGGGCCCGGCGTCACGAGGTGGAGATGCCGAGTGTTTTATTGTATGAGACGTCGATGCCGTCGAAGCTGCTGCTGATGTGGCGTCCATCCCACGCACACACTCACTAACAAACAAGTGACGGGCTGAGCGCGCTCCCTTCTGCGCGTGTGTGGAGTTTGCTTTGTGGTTGCTGTGCTCTTTTGCCGTTCACTTGCCGCATTGTGGATGAGGTGTGTGTGTGTGTTTGCCTCACCACTACCGTGCCGCCCCAGCAACGCGCTGGATGGCGTGGAGGCCGTATTTCTGCTCTCCGAGGTGTCCTGATGTAGGCGGCATGGACGGCACGTGCGTGGGCCCGTTGTCCGCAATACGTGGAGCCTCCACACTCTAACGATGCGATCCGCAGCTTTTATTTTTTTCTTCTTTTCTGCGTCACGCTCCACGTTGGGCGCTGGGCGAGGGCGGCGGAGCGGAATGTGGACAATGCAGTAGCGTCAGCGGCACCTTGCCCGTCGCTGTCTGCCGCTTGCCGCGTCAGCGACGTCACAGTTGTTCTTAATTTGCTTGCCGCGCGTTCATTTTATTGAGGGCGCATTCTTCCGAGGAGGCCTGCATTTTTGTGCTCCTGGCATCCTCTGTCTTCAACTTGTGTTTCCGTTGCTTGCGAGCGACGCCTGTCTTGCGTGAGTGGTGCTCCTCGTGCTTCTGCCTTGTTGCGACGGCGCCGTTCTCTGATTTACTTCTTCCGCTTCCTTTTCTTTTATTTTTGGAGGAGCGGAAGGACAGGAGCCAAGGTGGCAGTTTCACAATGTGTGGAGTGTACATTGCTGACCCCGCTGTGTTCGACGCAGACACGGGTGCGGCGTGCTAGGATCGTGTGCGCACGGCTCTGTGGGTGCACGGCGCGTTGCCGCTCATTCCCGCTGGAAACGTGGCCCCAGGGGCTGGGGAGATGTGGGTGAAGAAAATGGAGATGGTAAGGCGGCGCGACGCCGTCATTGCGGACCTGTGTCTGTTTTGCTTGGATGGGCCGGACTGCGGGACGGCGTTTGAAGTGGCCCACGCTGCCGCCCTGGGAAAGAGGGAGTTGACATTTACTTTCGATTGGCGTTCCATGAGGGAGAAGTACGGCGGCGCGTGTGACGCGTCTGTGATGAGTGTGGAGGACTTTGGCCTTTCATTCAGTCTGATGCACTGCGACGGTGCGGAGGCGTTCGACTCCTTCGACGCTGCCCTTCACCACTTTCTGAGGCACAGCTCGGAATGGCGAGGATGCGACTATGGGGGATGTGTGCGAAGTTAGAGTTAATGCTTTGGGTCCTGGTGGGATTTTGTGCACGGCTTGGCGTGCATCCCCGACGCAATGGCCGGCGGAAATTCCATGCTGTGTTTCTCAGCAACAGGGCAGGCGACTGGCTCCGTGCGGCACAGCTGGGTCTGGCGTGTGTGCCGCTGACTGTTGTCTGTTTAGTGCTTTTCCCGCTGCTTTTTTGTGTGGGCCGGAGATGTTGTCCTGTTGCCCACGAGGCGGGTATCCCTTTTTTTTTTTTTTTTTTGGCTATGAGCGCTGGCACGTCTGTTGGAGGTCGTGCGTCGAATTTTTTGAAAAAACACACAGTCCTTCCACCTCGGCGTGTGAATGGTTGGAATAAATGATTTCTGCTGCTGCAGTGACACGCTGTGCACCCCATTGGTGTGTCTAATGTGCTTCCCTGTGCTCTTCTTCCTATTTCTGACACACACACTTGAAAAGGAAAGCAAACAAGCGCTAATCGCTACTGTGAAATTCGAGGGCAATGAAAGGACCAACAGCACACACACCGCCCACACATACATATTTATATGCACTCACGTGTTGCTGCAGTGAAGGCACCCCGCACACACAATTATCGCCGCGTGACCGGATCCAGCGGAAGGAGGAGGGAAGGAAGAGAGAGTGAGCCGCAGAGGCCCAACATGTCCCGGCGTGTGTTTACTTCCGCGGTGCTGCTCCTCCTCGTCGTGATGATGTGCTGCGATACTGGAGGTGCGCGTGCCAGTAAGTCGAGTGATCCAAAGCCTACGGTTATTTTTGTACCATGGGAAACGAGGGTGTCTTCTGGCGCATTTGAGAGGCAACAGCTATGGAGAAAATGTTGTTAAGTCGTTTATTTTTCATTCTCTTGTTGAACCACTATGGCTTAATTGTGGGTATTGCCAAGGTCAATTAGGGAGTCGCTTCTAGTGCCAGTGTTGGCATTTGGTCAAAGTACGTGAGTTTTAGACGGGAGGAGTGGACGAAAGGAATTGCAGCGGAGAGCTTGACGGACTGGAGGACGGACATTGCCGTGGAACGAAGAGAAGAGGCGGTTCACGCGTCTAAATTGAACGGTCCCAAGGCGTTGACGAAAGACGGCAATATTTTTCTGCCTGTGGAACGCCTTCCTGCGAAAAATGCCAGCGCGATGTTGGAAACTCCACACAGGTGGGAGCTTGTGCCTGTTTTGGGTGACGTTTTTGGTCTCCAACGATGGGGGCAAGCGCATTACGTGTGGTGCTGAGAAACTTTCCAAGGCTGTTGTTGACGGCCAGCTGCGAGCGAAGTCATGGAATGGTTTCTGGGGTATTGGCGGCAGGGGCGTGGTGGCGAATGGCACCGCGATTGTGTTTCCCCTTGTGACTGTGAAGGGGGACAACACAAAAGTCTGCAACATCATCCATTCGAAGGGCTGTGGCAGGAATTGGGTGTTCCCTGCGGAGGGTTTCGCTGACGGGATTGCGCTGATCCCAATATTTTCGAGTGGGAGGGAAAACCCCTCATGGCCTCCATGCGTGGCGGCCATGACGGGAAATTGCATGAGTCCGGTGAAATGGGGGAGAAATGGATGTAATTCGGCGGAGCTCATTTGAATGTCTTGACTGAGGCCTTGAAGAGTGCTACGACTTGTGGCCGACTCGACATCGTGACGGTATCCATCGAGGGGAGGAGTGTAATGCTGTTTGCTTTTCTCAGGCAGAATAATATTCGGAGAGCCACGAGCGTGTTGCGTCTTTATATGACTGATATGAATCGATTTTACCCCATTGGACTGTTATGTGCTGATGGTGTTTTCAAAAACGCAGATACTCAGCGGTACAAGGGCGGTGAACTGTTTGCCCTGTACGAGTGGAATGCAGGAAAAGGGCGTGTTGTGCTCGCACCCTCACTGAGCAGCTGGAGGAAATAAGGACTGCGCTGAGGAATTGGGATGCAGTCGACAAGAACGTCGCAACGCCTTGCACTTCCACCAGCAAAGAGGGAACCGCATCCGACGGTGCCTGCAGCACTCCTACGCCCACGGGTGGGCTGGTCGGATATTTGTCCAACGAGGGTGAGAGGGATTGCTGGGTGAAGGAATATCTCGCGGCGAGTGCCACGGTGATTGGGACAGCAACGAAGGTTGAGGGCGGTGTGACGTTTGAGGGGCCTGGAGTGTGGGCAGAGTGGCCTATGGGTAATCGGTGGCGGAATCAACGATTCCACATTGTGAACAAAGGCTTCACTCTTGTGGCGACGGCGACAATTGGGGCGGCTCCTGCAGGCAGCGGCAGCGCCCTTATGGTTGTCGTGGGTGGCGCTGGGAGTGTGAGGATGGTGGGACTGTCAGTCACGGCGGACAATAAGTGGGAGGTGGCGTTTGACGGTGAGGCGGGAGAAGTGCAGCACGGGAACTGGGGGCTGGAGAGAACGTACCGGGTGGCAGTTGGGCTCCACAACGGCATGGGCACCGTGTGCGTGGGTGGCAAAATTTTGGGGAGCTCAGCAACGACAGTTACACGTGGGGCGCAGTTGCTCGACGTCTCATGCTTCTACGTTGGAGGTGACGGTTGCAGTGGCTCAGGCTGCAGTTAGGTGACGCTGGCGCATGTCTGTCTGTGCAGCCGCCCACTGACCAGGCAGGAACTACAGATGCCCCTTTTGCGTGGCAAACAGACTGAAGCGGGCTGCAAGGAGGGAAAAGCGACACTGTGCCCCGGGTAATTTTGCGGCCAAACTGCCACAGGATCCGGGCGTTGACGCGGCTGCGGGGGAAGCGGTGCCAGTGCCCGCCAAGGGGGAATTTGCGCGGGAAACAGCACCACTGATGTCAATGGCTCCACTGTTTTATTGTTCCCAAAATGAATTGGTGACGGTGCCGTCCATGGGTGTGTGCCTTGGGCATTTTCTGCCTTTACTTCAAGGAGTGTGTGGGGAATTGGCATTTTTATGAGCCGTAGAATGCGGTTGTGCGATCTCTAATGGACAGTACGTGCCGCCTTTTCCGCGTGTTTTCTTTTCTTTTTTAATGATTAGTTGTTATTGTCTGCTGCTGCTGGTGCACGGATGGGATAGTCAGCAGCCCTTCTTTTCCTTTTTCCGTCCGATGGTTAATCGCCGTACATTTCATGAGTGAAGTGTTTCTTACTTTTATTTCTTGTTTGTGGCCCACACCGTTGCCAGCCTTACTGCTGTGCGCGCCGCGGACTGTACAAAAAAAAAGGGGGATTGGAGGAACAGGCCGGATGCCGCAATGAAGTGTGAAGAGTGTTTTGTGAGGGCTGGTGGAACAGTACAATTGTTTATTATTTTATTATTTTTCTTGTGAAACAGTTATGTATCCACAACAACGCACGGTCGTTTTATGCTGCTTGGCACATGAAATGAAAGTCGTGCCTGATCGTTTTTTTATTTTTTACTTTTTGAGAGTCTTCCCGGACTCTCAACTCTGTTGTTGTGCTTTTTTACTTTCCCGCTTCTGGTTTGCAGGGTAGTGTGCGTTTTTGCCTTTTTACTAATTCCAGCTGCCTTATGGTATTGCTGAGATGCTATTGTTGTCACTGTTTGGTGGCGTGGCTGTGTGACTTGTCTCTCTCCTTTCCCTTTCACTCTGCGTTGACGGGGTGTTAGTTTGTGCTGAAGTCTACACGCAAGTGACAGGAGTGATGGCGATGATGATGACTGGCCGTGTGCTGCTGGTGTGTGCCCTCTGCGTGCTGTGGTGCGGTGTCGGCGGTGGTTTTGCCAATGAGGTGGTGGAAGCTCCTGCCGGTGTTGTTGCCAGTAAAAGAACGGATGAGGAGAATTTGATCTTGAATTGGTATTTTCTGATTCGGGAAGAATGCGCGAATGAAAGCACGACAGGAGGGAAGCTGAATGTGACAGCTGAGAGGATCTGTATTCACAAAGTGATGAAGGGGGTTTGTGACGCTTTTTATGATAAAAAGTCGGGTGTAACTCATGACCGTGACGTTGAGTTTATTTGTACGTATTACGCTACCATTCCAGAGGAGCCCGTCGAACCCCCAACACCGCAAGGGCCACCACCACATTCAGCTGTCAGCAGTACCACCAGTAATGAGGGGACGCCGAAGAATGCACCGGAATCCGATGATGCAGGGAGAGGAGAAGGAAAAGAAGATGAAAAGGAGCACGGCAATACGAAGGAAAAAGCAGTCGAAACCGCCGCTGTGGAAAATGACACGAAGACTACCGACAGCGACGGCAGCACCGCGGCCTCCCACACCACCTCCCCTCTTTTGCTTCTTCTTCTTGTTGCGTGTGCGGCTGCTGCTGCGGTGGTGGCCGCGTGAGAGTGAGGGAGAGAGAGCCGTGCACCGCCCGCACACACACTCGTCTTTCACTCACTCTCTGTGTGTGTCCCCTTGCATGGACTCTCGCCCTCACCTCATTCCACGAAGCACACACATAATGTGCCCATTGTATATATGAATGCACACCCATGCATGCCCGTTGGTGCTCTCTTTTGCACCACACGCACCGCTGCCGTCCTGCCTGGCTGCATGGGCGGAGCACCGTAACTGTTTTTGTTTTGTTTTTATTGCATTGAGTGGGCGACCTCTCTCTCTCTCCCTGTGTGTGTGTTTTGCTTTACGGGAGCAATGAGAGTGTGTGCACTGGTCGTCCCACGCTTCGGCTTTTTTTTTATTGTTTTACTCTTTTTTTATTGTTTTACTTGTGTTGTGGTTGAGAGCACCCATTCCGCGGGCTGCGTGTGTGTGTTTGTGTGTGATGGCTTGAGTAATTTGCGTGTGTGCCATCTGCATCTCTCTGGCCTCGCTTTCTTTGGACTCTCTTGTGCGGCATAGCTGCTCTGCAATTATAGGCGCTGCCAAACACACAAGCACATGCACACACATGCCATGTTGCACACGTTGTGGAGCGGCGTGAATGCTGAGAACGGATGCACACATGCAGATGATTCTGGCTGCGGTGGCCCTCGCGAGGAGGGAAGGCCTGTGCACGCGAATTATTCCATTGACATACTGGGGGTGGGATGTTGGCGGCGTGCAGCAGTTGACTGATTTGATTTGTCATTGACGGTGACTGGTATAACTACGGATTGATCTCCGCCCAGCGGCTGCACGTGCCGATGTGTCTCTTTTGCTGTCCATCGGCAGATGGGGATTCGTCGGCTGTGCGGAGCGATAGGGGTTGGAGGGCGCGCCGGAAGGGAGAACAGTAACACGATTGCGGCAGCGCGTGGGCTTTGAAAAGGACTGTCGTGTTCTCTTGCATCCCGCCTGCTGTTTTGTGTGTTTGTGTTGCTAGGTGTGTGCTGACGCGTGACGGACGGTGCCACGATGGCAGTCGCTGTGTTCTCGGCACACTCTTCCACACACTCTCCTTGTCTCTCTGTGGGAGTGTTTGCAGCAGGCCATTGCTGCGACCGTGATGGGGACCACGACGGCGTCACCCCTCGAGAAGATCCCACGCTCTGTCGGTTGTGGAGCGGCGAGGCGGTTTGCCTGCAGCTCGACTGACAGAACCGCACAGTCGTTTCATTGCGGTCACTCCGTCGGCACCATCCGCTGCGGTGGTGTCCGCAAGAGCCGCAGCCCGATGAGGATGGCCTCGTAGTTGTCTGGCAGCTCAGCACTTCAGGCCCTTTGCCCCTCAGGATTGCCCTTGCTGCTCGACTGGCGCAGCACCATCTCGGCATGGTTCTTCTGCAGGAGTGCAGGCACCAGTGAGCCCCAGCGACGCGGCTCATTGGCTGCGGTGTCTTCCGCCAGGCCTGCAGTGGGCGTGCCGGTGGCGTGGCCTTCTTGGTGCGCCACACCTTGCCGTGCGAGCGCCTGTCGCTCGTGGCACCAACTGCCTGGAGACCACCGCCTTCCGCGTGTGCCCACCGCCCAGCCCCAGCATTTAAGTGGTGGAGTTCCGCAGCCTTTCCATGGCAATGGCTCACGCTGCTCACTTTGCGGGCAACATTCGTCGCTTAGGCCCCGCAGCGGTTATTTGCGACCTGAATTCACACCATGAGCCGCGGGACGGTTGCTCACCGTCCATGACGGCAGGAGAGGACCTCGCCGCCACCCCAAGCGGCATGGACTCTGAGCTGTCCGACGACCCGGCACAGGCAACGTGGAACAGCGGCCGCAGCGTCTCGTTTCCCGACGTGACTGCGCAACGCGTACTGCGTGTCTCCCACTGGACGTCCACCCGTTTACATGGACTCGGACCACCATCTGCCATCCCACACTGCAGGGACGGAGGACGGCATCCCGCGACAGGCAGGCATGCTGCCACAACGGAAACATGTCGCCATTTCCCTGCGTGAAGCTGACTGTGATGCTTCCACCTCGGCGTGTGCAACGTCTCTGGCCACTGTAATCACATGGTTGGAGATGCACCGAGGCACCGTACGAGCGGTAGCCGTGACAGTCCCACAGGAACCTGGACGGACGGAATGTAGCAGGCCGAGTGTGTTGCAGCGGCAGCCTGCCCCGAGCTGAAATACTCCGCAAACGGGAGGACCGCAATCATGCCCTCCGCCGTGGCTTCTCCATGCTGTCAGACGTCCGTGCGAAACAGCTTGGTGCCCTCTCGAGCCAAGGCCTGTGATGCCCTGAGGCATGGCAGCGCTACGTCCCTGCCCTCTGGGATCGACTGTGCTGCGGTACTGTTGGGACCGCGTCTGTGCTCTGCCTCCACCGGAACCTCTTCCCGACGTGAGCACCGCCACTCCTTGCCGACCAACAAGCGGCTGATGGACGTCCTCCTGCCCACTCTTCGACAGACCGGCACGCGCCCTGCAGATCACAAGCAACCCTTTATCTCGGTGGTGCTGCTCCTCCCACACTGAAGAGGCAGGACCGCCCCGACCTCCTCCGGAACCTCCACCTGGCGTGTCCACGGCACCTCCTCGTAGAATGACGAGCAGCAGATCAACGTCGCCCTGCCCAAGCTGCAGCAGCGTCTTCTCGTCCGTCCACAATATGAAGGCACACGGCCGACGCACTAACCCTGGCACTCCAATCGTTGCAGAAGGCCTCACACGTGGATTCTGCGACAGCTCCACGGTCTTCCCAACAAGTGCCTCACGCGCAGGTCACTACCGGAAATGTCAAGCGTATCAACGAGCAAAAAACGGACAACGCAACTCTGCAAGCTCCAATGACAGCCGTAGCCCTTCAGCCACTCCTCCGCTACTGCAACCCCGACCAGCCGCTGAGCCCCGACAATACACGGGAGGCCCTGCCGCACACGCTGTGGGAATGCCGCCGTCCTCGAAAACTCAGCATCCGACTATTTGGAAACACACCCTCTCGCACGACAGCATCGTTCAGAAAGAAGGAAAACCTGGCCACATCGCTACGGACAGCCCGCAGGCCATTAACGAACAGTGGCAGCAAAGTATAACAAAACAAACATTTCCCTTTTCTCAGCATAGAAAAACAATGTCACCTTCACACTCGCAATTGCCACCAATGAATTCATTGCGCAATACCGCTCTGAGCTGCAATACTTCCTGGTACCATCCAGGTCCCTTGTCGACACATTGATGCGGGTGGGCACCCATCCATTCCTCCCAATGACGGTGCATGTCTGCGACGCACCCTCAGATCCAAAAGGCACGTCCCTCACCACAGCCGGGATCGACTTCGCCCTGTCCGCACGCATCGCTTTGTCAGAAGAGCAGGAGTACGTCAGGCTGGCAGCAAAGCACCTGCCGGCACAACAAAAACATAAAAATCATCACAAACAGAAGCACCAGCAGCACTGCAGACCGTGGGGTGACGTGGATCAACCGACACATGCTGTACATAAAAGAAAACACTTCATGGCTTGACAAGGATAAGAAACACTGACACTATCTCAAATAAATAAAAAAGAAAAAATAAAAGGTCACGTGTCCGCAGTCAAAGCAAACCACCAATCCAAAAACAAGGCTAATTGGGTGCACTCAACCACAAGAAAAGCAATAAAAAGCCGAAGCGTGGGACGACCAGCGCACACACTCTCATTGCTCCCGTAAAGCAAAACACACAAAAAGGGAGAGAGAGAGAGAGAGGTCGCCCACTCAATGCAATAAAAACAAAAACAGTTACGGTGCTCCGCCCATGCAGCCAGGCAGGACGGCAGCGGTGCGTGTGGTGCAAAAGAGAGCACCAACGGGCCTGCATGGCTGTGCATTCATATATACAATGGGCACATTATGTGTGTGCTTCGTGGGGTGAGGTGAGGGCGAGAGTCCATGCAAGGGGACACACACAGAGAGTGAGAGAAGGACGAGTGTGTGTGCGGGCGGTGCACGGCTCTCTCTCCCTCACTCTCACGCGGCCACCACCGCAGCCGCAGCCGCACACGCAACAAGAAGAAGAAGCAAAAGAGGGGAGGTGGTGTGGGAGACCGCGGTGCTGCCGCCACTGTTTTGTGTATTCGTCGTATCTGTTTTGTTTGCGGTTACTGTCGTTGCTTTTGTATCTTCCCCAGTCCCTTCTGAGCCTTTGTCTCGGTGGCTTTGTGGTGTGGCCGCGGTGTCAGGCGGCGGAACTTTTTTTTATCTTCACTCGTGGTGTCTTCGCCATCCTGTTCGCGGGAATCAACACTGTCTTCTGGAGGTGGTGGAGGAATTCCACCCGCAATGCCCCCAGGCAGTGTGTTCTCTCCGTTACCTGTCGCGAGTGCGTCCTCTACTGCAGGTGTATTTTCGTCGGGCTCCTTCTTTTCTTCAACTTCCGTTTGCGTAGGATTGGCATTTGATTCCCGACTGCCGGAATGAGAAATGCCCTCTGCAGGTGCAATTGACTGACGTGTTTCCTGCCCGCTGCCACTTAAATTCTTTTCCCTGGAACCTGAGCCTATTAAAACTGTTCCTTCTTGTACACTCTGCCTTTCTATACTTTTTCTTTCTCCATCTTCCGCCCCTGCATCTTCGTCATTCTCTTCACTATCTTCTTCTTCTTCAACATCTTCATCTTCATCTTTTTCAACTTCATCCTCTAGAGATTTGGAAGTACTTGTCCTTTAACACCTCCTGCTCCACGTCTTAATTCTTGCGTGACTTGTAGAGGCGTTTCAAGTTCTTGTGATTGCAGCAGAGGTCCACCACCACTCCAAAGACCTGCCCTATCCTCATTTGCAAAGCCACCGCCGGCACCGCACCACAGCACGCAGAGGGCACACACCAGCAGCACACGGCCAGTCATCATCATCGCCATCACTCCTGTCACTTGCGTGCAGCCTTCAGCACAAACTAACGCCCCGTCAACGCAGAGTGAAAGCAAAAAGAGAGAGAAACAAGTCACACAGCCACGCACCGCCCCATACAGCAATGAGAGTCACGCACCACAACAACAATTAAGTGGGCGCGGTCCAACAACAATAAAAACAAAAGAGGAGCGCTCTTCGCCCGTTTCCCGTTCCTCACACTCCCACAGTCACTATTACCGTTATTCTCACTCCTCACAGGCACGCCACGCTCACTTCAACACACGCCTTTCCAGCACATGCAGTCCGTGATGCGCTCCCGCTGCGCTGCGACGTGCAATCGACCCCAACACCGCCACATTATCGCCCTTTTTTATTTTGTTTTATTCACGTTGTCCGTCTGTTTGCCCCATCACCGACACAAAAAATAAGTGCACACCTTCACAAAGGGGAAGGAACAAAGAGAAAAGGAGGCACGATCCCACCGTCCCGCCGCGGGCCAACACTCTCCTCCACCCACCACCATTGCCGCGCAGGGGACCGCAGTCACATCGCAGAGTCAGCACCACAATTTGCACCACACCATCGTGCAATGAACGTTGGGCGGGACGCAGCCATGCATCGCCCCGCTCCATTTTCCCACCACTCAAGTGTTGCGTGCCCGCACAAAGTGGCAAACAGAATCAGAGTGCACACAAACCCAATCATCCCCCTCACTCGATGAAGCACATTACTTCGCATGGAGTGACAACATTTGAGGACACACCAGCAGTAGCAGGCTGCATGGAATTTCCCTGCCAACCCTGCAAAGAGACACAACAACTCTGCGGATTCAGAGTGGCAGTCCCTCGGTGTTGCCCGCAGCTCGCATGGCAGGAATAATTCCACGCACGCATAGTTCCAAATCCCTCGCTGCTTGACTGCACATCAACAGAACATGTGAAAAAAATACCTGCGCGCAAGGTGGCAATTAAATACGTGAAAAAGTCGGCCTGTTTTCTCCGATGGCGTTGGCAAGCAGTCCCACACAATCCAATCAAAGTGGCACGCCGGACAGAATGGCGTCCGTCAATCAATAAAAAAATGCGACACTAAAAAGGAGCAGAAAAGAGTTGGCGCACGCGATTGCCAGTGACAACTGTGAGCAAACCCGCCAGCACCAACTGAGGTGCCGAGAAGCACGTTTGTGTAGAACTGGCCGTCAGGCAGAGAGGATAAATAAAACAAAAGGCAGCAAACCCTCTCGTTCAATGTCTCCTGACCGCGACGCCAGAATCAAAATACCATGGACGATAAGAGCGGCAACGCCTTCTCCAAAACATCTTGTCAAGAAGCCGCAGGACCTCAGGAAGAGAGGAAGGCAGCGGCGGCAGCCACAGCGGGGGAGGCAATAAAACGGCTGGCAGGCACCTTCACGTCGACGCGCACACCACATCCGAGTGGGCTGGGAGCACTGATCGAACCGCTCGGAAACACACGCATCAAATCCGCAAAACAAAGTCGCAGTGAATCGACAGGAACTCCCCGCCCAAAACAAATTTAAAAAGTAGCGTTTTTCAAGGGGAAATCCGCTTTTCCGACGACGGCATGGACGCCTCGCAGAAATTTCTTGCAAATCTCCCTTCGCAGTTCCGCAAGAAAACGCAGCGGAATAAAAAGAGAGCGCAACGACGCAAAAAAAAATAATCCGCCTAACCGACCAGGTGGCAGGCTGCCCTCGCGCAAGTGGACAAAACACAACTTCACTCCGGTCTTGTCGTGGTGGTCGTCTCGCAACATTTTCTTCCTTCTCGTCGCAGTGCACATCCCCCTCCCACAAAGCATTTGTTCGGGCCATGCTCCTGCGGCCAAACATCGCGCTGCTGGATCCCGCGGCACAGTCCTCGGCACAGAAGTGAGGGAAGGAAGAGGGACCGCAGAAGATGCGAGCAAATCCGAATTCGGTGGCGGTCGCTGCAGTGAGGATTGACGTCCCACGCGGTGTCCCTTTTCTAGCTCCGGCCCTCACCGTGCCATGCTCTCAACGTGCGGTGCGCCGGCCGCTCCGAACATCCACACGTGCTTGCGTCTCACCGTCGCTCCCAGCCCCGTTCATTGACTGCATCAGGGATGTCGCCATCCAGAGACGGGCATAAGGACGCTGCATCCAACAAAACCTTCAGAGGCACCCGCTGGGCCAACGACGACCGTCACTGCGGGATGTGTGGCCCTTCCGCCACTCACCTCAAATCGCACTTCCACGCCTCCTCGAGCAGCAGCAGCAGCATAAATACACCGGTCCACTAGGAACCGCCACCAGCCATTGCAGGAAGACCACTGTGCCTCAGTGCTATGAAACCCGAATTGCATTGACGGGCCGCTTCGGAAAATCCTGTCGCATTCTCCCCCATTATGCGGAAACACATCCGTCGTGCATGTGTCCACCGCAGCCAAATGAATCCGGTCCAAATACCCTCCAAATTGAATTCCCCTTTCCTCAAGCCATTCCTTCATTCCATACGCCCTGACCCTCATCCGCACGTGCTCACTCACACAAGCCGCCATAGACAGATGGTGGCCGCCCAACGCTCCGGAAAAACATGCCCAGCACGCACGCGCACAACAAATGACATGCGCAAACGCACGGCACGATGGCGGAGAAGCGCACACCGAAAGGATGCGGCCCTCCACAGCAGTCGCAGCCCACCGCGCGCATCACGCCCGCAGGAAAAGTGACTCGCGGTGCGCGCTCCCTCTCTCCTCCTTCCCTTCATGCCCACGGAGGAAGCAGCAGCCACCCGCAACCGCCAGCACACGCTACAAAAAAAGCATCAAAATCCACTGCAATGTGTATTTTGTGCGTGCATGTGGTTGTGTGTGTGCCTGCAGACACACGAACCAAAGAAGTAAAAACAGGAGCAGAGCATGTGAAGGGACGCACAAACAAAACTGTACAGCAGAGGTGCATGGCGGAAATAAAGAGAAAAAGACTGCTCAGGCTCACAATATCGCACTGCAGAAAAAGCAGCGGCAATTCATTAAAAAATTAATAAAAATAAATAAACAAAAATTCATCTTCACCCTTCCACACCACACACTTTGAAAAGAATAAAAAAAAGAAAAAAAAGAAAAAAATTGGAAAAAGTCGTCCTCTATTACGGCTACACACAAATAACAGAAAAGAAAAAAAGAAAAAGAAAAAAAGAAAAACACACACAAAAAAAAAAGGCACCCAACTACCGTGCTGCTCCAGAAATTGTCTGCATATTTTGTCCGAAAATAAAATTAAAAAGGTATTTAAATGTCTTTCAACCGTCTGGCCCTCTGCGTGTCCGCACATCGTTTATATTTCATGGGGTCATCTGCGTGTTGC